AACCAAAGCCCGTTTAGGATTTTTATTAGAATACTATATAGTATCTATAGGCAAAAAAAATCATTGAAAGCGGAAGGAGACAGTTGAAGATGTACCCTCGTCAGCATTTATTTTATAGATTAAAAGTAAGTTTCGTTTTAAAAGACTTTCACATATTGTTAATGAATATATATTTTTCTTGATTAATCCATATATAATCTCAAATTTACATTTATCTCTTCTTTTTTCCTACTAAATATTTTCAGTACCGTAATCATGTGTGTTGCAACAAAAATAGCAAACAAATAATATAATAATGCTTTGTGCTTGTCACGTCTCATTGAATTGTGTTATATTATATTGGCAGAGCTGGTCTATTACTTGTATCTGACTGGTGTTGTAGTTAAATGAATGTGGTTCGTTTTGTCACTGTGATCATCATTGAACGGGCACTAACTCCTTTTGTTACCTTTGGTATATTAACTTATATTACAAATATTCTTTTTCTAATTCCATCTAAAATGATTGTCTAAGACCAATTATTTCTATTTTTATATTATTATTATTTTTTGATAAAAATTAATACATACGCATATACAAGAAAAATAAACTGATTTGAAAATGAAAATTCTTAAAAAAATAATTTCGAGGTATTGTATTTGATCATTCTTGATGTATTAATAACCAATCATCATAAATTCTGTATATGATGTACAAGTATCAATACCTCTCTTTGAAGTTATCAGAACACGATAATTTGCATATGGTAATGGAAACTGTGGGATTATTTGCAATACTCCGAATGTTGATCTTCCTGGATTTGATACAAGTCCCGTACTATCATTATAGATTAACGTCCAGCTCCATCCAAAGATAAGTTCATCTATTTGTAGATTACTCCCTTCAATAGTGATTGTCAATGGATCACGTTGTGGATACTTCGTATTCGTGCCTATATAAAATGCCACTAGGCTGAAGAAGCGATTGCCTAATGATAAATACCAACCAGTATTTTCGCCGCATGTTATCAACATAGATGAGGAACCACTACTACAGCTTCCACAATTGGTATATTCGGTTGTCAGATCATTATCGAATACAACTTCTGGAGAATCAGCAATATTATATATACCTTCAATTTCACTAGTCCATGTTGGTGAACTATTGCCACCTGCTATTGTATTCCATATGGGGTATACAGCTTCATTTGAGCGATTGAAGAATTTTAGAGCTGTTCAAAAAGAAAACAGTTCGAATTCTGCAAAATGGGTTTCATATGCTCTTATCTGAACATGCGATATTTATTGTTCTAGACAGACTTAGAGATAAATTAATATAGTATAAGCAATAATCGATGATTTGGGATAAGAAGATCGAATTTTTCGTATTCACTATACTTAAATTATCTTTAAAAATGGAAAAATGGTGAAATACAGATCAGCAACTAGCAATGTTTAAAGTGTTTTATTTATATTATAATGCATGTTAGAAAAAGTATTATTTCATCTGTCATAGGAAAGAAGAAAATACCATTGTTGAATTAATCTAATATAGATTCAACTGGCATACACGTTCATGTTTTCGCTATAATCAAATGTAGTATGACTACTATTGACATAGATCAAATATGTTTCCAAGATCATACTTCAAACTGTAGAAAACTTATGTCTACAAAAACTATTTGAAATCTATATATGTGGGACTTCAAATGCACATCAAAATCTTAATAAAAGAGTTTCTAGAATCCAGAGTAAACTAGTAAAAGATTCAAGATGTGCCGCCTCCGATATAACACATAGATATACGTGCGCTTTTCCATTTGATTCACACAAAGGATCCGATAAAGATAATCGATCAAGACAATGGTTTTTTTTAGACATTGAAAGATGTTGAAATAAGTTCTCACAGTCATATCTATCTTTTTTATTATTGTTTTCTCTTTCATTATCTATTATATTTGTAAACTGTTAAATTATCGTACACAAGTGTCGTTCGAGAACGAAAATAAATAATGAAATCCTTGAATAGTATCATTCTTATTAACCAGCTTGAATATGTTAAAATTAAATCTATCAAAAATACGTCTAGATCGATTTTCAATATTCTCAGTCATCTTTTTTAGATTGCCGAAAGAATCGATCATCAAGCTTATACCACTTTAAAAACGAGAAGAAAAGAGTAGATAGATAAATTCCAACGACAAGTGTACCATGAATGTATTTTCAATTGCTGTATTTAGAATTTTACTGTTTTCTAATCAGATGTACTTAACGCTTCAATTTTTCTTGACTATGTACATTCCAATTTCTTTACTTTTATTTGTATATTAGAAGTAAGAGATACATAGACGACAAGTGTAAATACAAAAAACAATGGAAAATGAGAAAAACTTTATATAAAAATTGACGAAGCTCCGAAAAAAATCATTTTAATTCAATACAGAACCGTTTATTCAATGGATTATTCAGTATGTATTGATTATTTAGAGTTCACATCAGAAAGACATGAAACTATATGGAAATCACAATTGTCTTGTAACCAACTTTTGCTTTGTAAACGAAAAATTTCACCTTAAAATCGCAAAGTAGGAGATGAGCCTAGATATTGCTGATACCTGTGACAAAAACTGTGATACGCGACACACATTAAATATAATCTTCGTTGAAATTAAGACATAATGAAAAAATATTGAAATTTGCTATTTTATTCCTATTGTTTTTTCACTCTTTCATTAGTACTTGTAAAAAAAGTTTATCCCCGTAGAATTCATTCTCGAATGGTCATTGGCTGAGTAGAATCAATATCATAATTCGGCTTAAATCAAATGACGTGTTAACAATCATTGCTAAGATACACATATTAAATACGAAAAGCGAACAACAAATAACATGCATTTCACAACTACTTATCGAAATGCACTTGTACTCGACTATCAAGGTTTACAACTAGAAATTCAATACGGCAAAATCCGTAAAAACAAACAACCATATTGAGAAACCATCAAATGGGACCGAATTGGACATTACCTTATAAAAATTGATGTACTCTTACAAATTGTTATTTTTCTCTTTTTAATTAACCTTCATTTGTTATGGTAGTAATTTCAATGGCGTCATCCCATTGAATTTTATTTTAGATTAGACTATATCTATTTTATAAATCGAAAAATACTATTCTATCTACTTGTAGTGACGACAATGGTGTTATTAGCATTTGTTTTTTTTTTAAGGACATTGAAATATTGACACTTTCTAGCCTCAATGAGCGTCTATGTGCTTTGTTTACTCTATTTAACATACTATAACAATAATAGAATGAGTTAGATCCATTCTGAATTCATCTGATGCATACAAATGTGTTTCTCACTTACCACTAAAACTTCTATTTCCGAAATAGTAAACTTTTGCATTAGCAATAGTTGGTACAACCCGTAATTGTCCTTGACTCAATTGTGCAAAGAAAAGTAAACATGTTTGACTAAAACCAAAATATGTTACTGTAAAACAAATGGTATTATTGTAGCATTGACATAGACAAGTATAAGCCGAATTGATTGATGAAAAATTGTTTATTATATAGCGTCTGTCAATCGGATCAAATTGAGCATTTTCGTATACAGTATAATGTGTCGTTGACGTAGATAAAAATACGAGATAGATAAGAATAATGCTTGTGATTTTAAAAAACATGCTAATCATATTCTTCATTATGAAAATATGTTTCTGATAGGAGAAATTGTAAAATACGTGTCCAAAAGTAGATATATATATATATATATATGTATAGTAGCTATTTAATGTTAGTCACCTGTCGGTCGAATAATTCTAGATCAAGGTGTGTAATATACAACATTTTCATTAACTAAAGTGCAACAGTGAAAAATAATCATAGAATTATATTTCTATTGTATGCACTGTTACATATTAGTTTTTTTCTCTCATTTGCAGCGGGTCTTGCTGCTGTTGCCATATTACGTTTCTTTCTTCTAATTTTTTTTTTGTATAACAAATCTTTGGCATGCAAACATAAAAATTTTTTTCAAGTATTGAAGATTGAATTGAGAGCTTCTCTCCAAGTAAAATAAGGCGAGCTTATCTTATTCTTCACGTAAATTTCATCGAGCGGTAGAAAAATGTATTGCCGAAAAAAAATCTTACAGAATTTGACGCATTCTGGAAAATTGCGCAGTATGAATATACTTAAGTGTCCCTACTTTATATTTAATCGATGTGTTATCACTTCCACGGCGAGCAAAGATATGATTATTTTGGATAGCAACTGTATTCAGTAATTTCTGATCGACAGAGGAAAACATTTTCGAAAAAAATTTATTATTCATAAGTAGCCATCTTCATTTCTGCTCTAAATTGATTTTATGCTAGATGTTTCGTTTAACTTGCCATACGATTTTACCTTGATTACAAGTTAGAGCCCGTTCAGTTGGTCCGGATCGAAAAGCTTTGAACTGAGCGGACTCTAGTCGTCTAAGAAATGTGTACAATGTGCTAGGCACCGAATACAAGAAATCAGAAAAAGTATCTCATATCTATCAAGCGACAATCCAATTCTGACTAGAAAATTTCATTGACAGTGCAGTTCGATTGGGTCCAAGTTCAGATTCAATCGCCAAAAATGTTCAATAAATCGAATCCGAAAATTTTACACCCTACGATATCTACTGGAAGTTGAAATCATTATTATTCAAATTGGCTTTCTTTTAATAAATCATGATTAAAGAAGAATTGCTTGAAAAATAGGATATCATAGAATTGATTTAAAATCTATAGGAAATATAGGACGACTTCAAACCTAATGAAATAAATATTAAATCGAAATGTTTAGATTGTTGATACATTATCATCGTCATCATCAATACTTGAATATGAATTATTACAAAATATAGATCAATTTATTATCATGTATACAGACATAGCAAATGAAGAAATTTGTGAATACATATCTTTTAGACAACAGACAAGAAAAAAAAATAAATGAATAGATATCTGATGAATGAGATTCATTTAATGAGAATTGCCATTTTGAACATGTGAAAATCCACCACTACTACCAAATCCATTTGAACCACGTACAGTTTCATCGAGTTTCTTGAAAATATATATTGAAAAATAAAATAATGAAAGAAAACAATAATCAAAATACAAACTTCTTCTTCAACTAATTCAGCCATTTCGATTTTTTCACAAATTAATTGTGCAATACGATCACCTCGTTTAACTAAAATTAAATAAAATTTAAATTAATTCATAATAGAAATATTAAATCTTACTAGTAAAATCTGAATCATTGTGATTAAATAATACAACACCAACATTACCACGATAATCAGCATCGATAACACCAGCTATTTCAAGAAAATAGAATTTAAAAAACTTGAAGATTTTATTATAATAATACCTCCTGTATCAATACCGAATTTAGCAGCTAGACCAGATCGTGGAGCTAAAAGAAATATATGATGATACACAAAACGAAAAGTCTTCTTTAAACTTTTGAAAAACTTTTACTAACCAACGCGACCATAACAACCATGTGGTACAGCAATTTGAATATCAGTTTGAGCTGTTATTTTTCCTCGTGCTGGTAATACATAATCATAAGCACTAAAAAAACATTAGATAAAATTCTTTTCAAATGAAGTAAAAGAAGATTTTAAGATTACCTTCGAAGATCCCAACCGGCTGCATAAGCTGAACCTTTTATTGGTGAGAATGCATGTTCACTAAGTTTAGCAAATCGTAATACAGCTTTTGATGATGACATTTGAAATCTGAAATAAAAAAAATAGATGATAATATTTGGAAACAGTGTTACATAAATGAGGAATTGTAAAAGAAACCGAAATAGATGATCAGAAAATATGAATAATTTTCAAATATTTAATTATAAGAAAATCGAAAGAATGTAGAATAAAGGAAACAATAACGGAAGAGAAAAGACACAAAGTGAAGAGAAACGAACGTGACGGATTGTTGTATACTGGCTAACTAGTGAAGGGGTATATATATGTAATGACGATAAGATTATATGTTATCATATGAACAAAGAAACGAAGTATATCTAGTCGTCATGAAAAAGAAAAAGATATAAGTGATGAAATAGTTAAATCCATTCGTAGTAACTGATCTACTGACTGATGAAACGAATTCGCTTGCCTTTTATTGGTAATTTTTAAATGCACTGTGTGAATATTTTTCTATACATGCGCCATATATTAACATTTATTATGTATTCAAAATCAGCATAATATGAATAATTAAATCTGCTAAATATTATGCTGACTATTTTTAGAAAATTTGATAGATGACGCTCTGTGCTAATGATCTGTGAGTCAGAAAACATTGTACTATGAAAATGCATGAATATTTTTAATTATTCAGAAATTCTCAGAATTGAATCAAGATTTATGTGTTTGTCAGTGCGTTTAAGTCATCTGTATCAGCCATATCGACTTTTTTGACTTATTTTTGAAGTTGGAATATGTATAATAAAAATGATGTTAGTTAATCATGATAATAAAATAGCGAAAATAAAAATGATCACGATGAAAATATTATATAACAATACTATAAAGTGCACTTGATTTTTCTGTGCAATTATTTTTTTAATCGATCCATTTATAAAAGGGATTTCCATAAGATGGAACAGTGGATTCCTGTTAGAAATGATGGGGTAAGTCATTCGTATCAGTAGTAAATCAAACAGCGAAGAGAGAACGAAAGAGAAATTAAGAGAGGAGTAGAAAAGAAAGAAAATGTACGGACGTAGTCAACAACAGATACATTCAATAAGAAAATATAAGAATAAATTTAAAAAACAAAAGAAAAAAAATCATTCAAATTTCTTCAAGTTCTTCAACGTCAAAACAATTATTTTTACTCCATTGTGGAAATTCTATAAAAGATGATTGCTTGTCAATTTGAAATTTGATTTGTATACATTTAAGTGCACATAATGTACCTAATTCAGGCCGATCAATAAATTTTAGACATCCGCCAAGAGAATTTCCACAAGTACATTTAACATCTCCTGAAATAATAAATACAAGAATATAAATGAAATCATAAATAATGTTAAAAGTATTTACCCATAACTAAATTTTCTTGAAAATTTTTATATGCATTGAGAAGTTTGCATTCATTATTATTGAAAAATTCTCGATTATTAATAAAATAGGTTGTATTTCGTTTTTTCAACCATGCAAGCTCACCTAATTCTCGATTACATTTACGACAACATATTAAACCATTTTTTTTACCAATTTTTTGTAATGCAGCTTTTTGTTGCATTTCAACTGTTAAATCTTTTTCCCATCCACTAATAAGCGATTTCTATGCAGAAAATAATTCATATAAATATTATTAAATCTTATTTATTTACAGTTTTCTCTTCAACATTACGTTGAAATAGATCTTTATCACATGTTCGCCATTGATCAATCGCTATTTCCATATTTTCTTCACGAATTTTATTGTTTTTCTCTCGCTGATGATTGGTTGAATCCAATTCAGTTATAAGATAATAGGAACTATTTTGTGCTCGTGCTCGACCTCGTGATTGAATTGTACCAATTTCATCCGATACAAATTCATAACGAATAACATAAGAACATGTAGGAATATCTAAACCTTCTTGAACAATATCTGAATAAGAAATGATAGAGATATATCAATTCATTGTATACATGCTTAACATCAATCGAAAGTAAAGACATGTTTTTTTTTTCGTCAGATATAAATTGATGCTAAAAGCTGAATTACATGCGCCCTTGTTTAAGTTTAAAGGTGATCATAATGTTTTGACTATAGAATGGAATATATGTAGACTTGGAGAGAAAGTTTATAGTGGTTGTGACGAAGGTAGTACGATCTATCGACATGTTAACAATACTCAGTAGAATTTAATAATGCATAAACTATTAGATAAAGAAAGTCTTTCTCTAGAAGCCTGCATATATCTCTTTTTTGTAATCAACAATCTTCGAAAGACTTATAGTTGCCTTTGTAGACAGAAGCATCGATTAATGATTATATATCAATAAAATGTATCGTTACAATTAATTATAAGACTTAAATTGATAATAAAAGAAATATATCTGTTTAATCATTGACTAAAGCAAGGGACTATTAATAACTTACCAGTAGCAATGAGTAGATTATATTCATCTAAAATATTCGATGAAGTCACATAAATGAAAAGAAAAATAAAGACAAACAAACCTTCTCGAAATTGTCTTAATCTTTCTTCTTGATCACGTAGTGTCAAAGAATGATCTGGGCTATTTTGACCAACAATCCAAGTTGCTTTAACAATATTCTAAAACAAGAATTATCCTAATATTGGTCGATAGAATTATTGTCTTACTTTTAATTTTGAATGATTACACAAGTAATCACAAAGTGTTTTTGCGTAAAAAGTTGTTTGTACCAAAATAAGTCCTAATCACATTTAAAATACAATGATTAGAAGAAAAAAAGACGCTCCAGGTAAAAATATTCACCTTTTGTATCTGTACTAGCATGTTGTTTAAGAAGATCAACTAATGTGTCTAATTTTGAATTTGTTGTTGAATTTTCCATATGTTTCTCTAAGATTTTATCCAATTCCGCCTTACAACGTTCATAAAGTACATTATTCATTGGTACTGATTGTTGATATCCTTTATAATATTCTTCAATTTTCTGTAATATATATTGTATAACCATATCAAATGGTAAATTGTTAAATGCTGAATATTTTTTTGTTAATAATAATAAATAATCGCAAATAATAATATTATTCATATCACCTTTTTTTTCAAAAGTTTGTTTTAAAAGTACAAGTTGACCAACAAATCCTGAAGAACCAATATCTTGTCCATCTAATAATTCTCGACTATCCAAATGATATTTAATATTTTTAATAAGATCTTGAAATGTTTTTAAATATTCATCAAAATATGAATTATATTGCACTTTTGAAACATATTGAAATTGATCATTTGTTGGTCGCTTTATTTCACTATTAATTTCATCTATATTATTTTTATCACATACAGTTGAAATATTTTTACAAGCAAGTTTACTACATAAACTGACAAGATTTTTTTCAAGTGATTCTCGTTTTTCAATAGCATCTTTAGCACTAATTGTTGCTGTTAAGCCAATCATGAATGGTTTTTCTGTAGTGTTTTGCTTTTTCAATGGACATAAATAATATTTCATTATTTCACAATAAGGATTTCCACCTGATGTATTATGACATTCATCAAATATCATTAAATTAATTTGACATAAACGTATGGTTTCTTTATTTAAACAATTAGCAAATTTTTGTGGTGTTGCAACAATAACATGATTTGTATCAATAAGTTGATCAATTGTTTGATCATCTTGACAAATTTGTACTCGTAAATTACCAACATCTAAAATTGCTTTAGCTTGTTGTAATCGTATGGCTTTTCTTGGTACAAAGAATAGACTTGAAAATTTTCTATCAGGATTTGTTTTTTGATTTTTTATGAAATAATATTTTATTATAACAGAAGCAATAAATGTCTTTCCAGAACCAGTTCGAAGACAAACAATAGTATTACCATTACAAATAGCATTTCGTATTATTTCAATTTGATAAGCTCGTGGATGATATTTTAAATTTAGTAACCTTGAATATTCTTCAGTCCATGGCTGAGAAGAGTCTTCGAATGGTTCTAAATTTATACTATTAAAATCCATGGGATCTGGTTCGGGTGGATTGAATCTAATTGGTACCGCATCTGCCTCTATTACAAAAAGAATAGATTGAAGAAATTTTTTTATACAGTAGTGGATAAAAGTTTCCTCTCCAACCGATCTCGGCTCCTGTATCTACTGAAGGTTTATACACACACTTCACCAAGAATGTAGGTAACTAGCATTGTGGCACCATTGTTGCTCAATTGCAAAGAAAGTTATGATGGATAGCATCTATTTTTGTTTCCAGCCTCATAACCTTGAAAAGAAAGAGTATTCTGTGTCAGCCAACTAGGATGTTATGGGTCTAGACTCGAGTTTTTTTTCAACAACATCTAGCATCCTCTGTGTACACGAACAAATGAAGAATCAAGATTTTAGCTATTTATTGGCTACTTTCAGAAGAAAATTCAATGTACAGTTATTTTCTGCTCTTCATTTTCCCATCACTCGATGGTCAATAAATTAAACATATTCGCTTAATTGAAAAGAGCATTATCTTAACAAAAAAAAAATTGAACAGTTAATTGATAAACAAAATTCGTCAAATCAACAGTAACACAAAAATCTTCACCTTTATAGAATCGGGATCAAGCAATATGTTCTATGCAATCAATATGAAGATTTGCTTATTTATAAATCATCTTCTGGTACTAGTTCACTATCTAAGCATATTTGTAGTTGTCAAAATGAAAAAGAATGGCAGTTTCCGAATGCTCAATCAAGTATTAATCAATTTTATGCATCTTCAAAAAATGAATCAACCATTTCAGATTCAGTTAAGCAAGAAACTAAAGCTGCATGTGCTGAATTTGCGGCACTTGACTGTCGACTATTCAAAATAATTAATGACATCACTTTTAAAACCTTGGCACAAAAAATTTCTTAATATTGGTTAATACTTATAGGGAGTTTCGGGTCCACGTTTTTGGGGACAAAATCGTGAGCCGACTCATCAATGTGTGATCCTATATTCCAGCTATCTATTACATTGGCACATAAATTCTGAGCGTTTGGATCAGTAGAATTATACCGCCAATATAATTCTACGGATCCAAACGCTCAGAACTTATGTACCAATGTAATACATTACTAATTTTATTGAAGTTTATCAATTCTTCCAAAGACTATGCTTATTTTACTGTAATCATGGTTGTGGAGAGAAACCATCTACTACCCTTTAAAAGTCAATAATTCAGTGGTAGTTCAATGAAACAAGTTCTAACTTTTCGAGAAACTTCCTTTACAGTTAGACATTACTTCATGAAAGTTTCAGAAGTAAATCTTGCATAAAAGAGAAATGGAATATGGATGATATCTTGTTAGGTGCAAGAATACAAGGAAGCATCAATATTTGAGTAAGTGAACTTATCTTTTGGGTAAAGAAAGATCACAGATGGAACTTCAGCTGCATAGAAAAATATCAAGAATTGATCATATTTTTAGTAAGAAACAGTGTAAAATTTTGTAGACAGTCTTTTTTAAGTAATAATGCTCCAATGACCTACATTCATGGTAAAGAATGTTTGAATACATTTTTTAACTTCCTGGACATATAGCGGTCGAGATCGACTGGAGCGAAACCTTTTGCCTGCTACTGTAATAATCTTACGTGGAAGATGCATAGTATCATTTTCATCCTGATCATCAACGATTTCTTGAGCAGAAGGTGTTTTTGATACATTTAATGATGGTAACACAAGTGTCACCTCAGCTTGATTTTGCTGCTGTTCCGCTGGTAGACTTGGTATGATTTCAGCAGGTACCAATTTTTGATAGTCTAAGAAAAATATTATTTAATTTAAATTGTATTAAGCCCCCCCCCCCCCCCCCCTCAGAAACGAACTTTGTTATTTTCTCATCCGATTTCAACCAAAATTTCAGAGAATGGTAGTCTTGACTAGAATAGCTTATGGTTAAAATATCTCCCCCAAATCTCAAAGATATGCACAAGTGCCAGTCAATTCATTACCCTTTACGCGGGGAAGGTTTTCACAATGGGGTTACTAGCTAATCATGTCGGGGTGATTTTTAAATTGTAGAGTGACTTTCGGGCTAGATCCTCACAGGCTCCGATTTTTGAATTTTCCTTTGTTTGATTTTTAAAAATACTTTTTCGAAAAATGTTCAAATTCAAAGTGCTAATAAATATGAAATATCTGAGTTTTTTATTTCAGCAAGAGAGAAATTCAAAAATCGGAGCCTGTGAGGATCTAGCCCTAACTGTCCTCTATTCAACAAAAGAAAATTATCCCTTCTCTATTGAGTCATCATTAAGAAATCTTTCCCCGCGTAAATGGTAAACTCGAAAAACAAATTTAGAAATAGAATTTTTTATTCAAGCTCAAAAAACAACATATGAAAATAGCATAATTCAGAATTTTGTCGATTTTTAAAACAAAAAGTGCAACTATAAAATAAGTGGCGTTATACAAATTGTAGAGCTTTTCACGCTGCATCTTCTGGTATTTTTATTTTAAATACAATGTATTAAAATAGAAAAGCAACGTTTTTCCGTTTTTGAAAGACTTCCGAAAATGTCTCGAAAAACATGATAGTAGGTCCCCAATCTCCTTTGATAAGTTTATTAAAACCTGGCATTTTTGGAAAAAAGGCATATATTTTCTGAAAGAGGAGGCTTCGGCGCATCTTCCTATGATAAAATCTCAACTTCGAGTTTTCTTCGAAAAAATAGGTTTGCTGAGAGGGAGCCCACTCCCTTAAATAGAGTCTAGTATTTTACCAAGTAAACGTTTAGCACAATCATGTCGCTCAATAGCTCGTAGTGCATGAACAAGATAATCAGAATTATTTCTTGAAATCTTTACACGATCGAAAAGTGTTTGTAAAGTTTCGAGTGCAGTGTCTAGTGAGCCATCAGACTGCAAACGGCGTGGAATATCTTCACCAAATAAAAAATGCAATTGTTTACGATCTGTATCAGACAGTGAATTTTGAATTTTGAGTAAAACTACTCGAAAATCGAAGTCTTCATTCATTTGAGTCGCAATTATAATCTTAAAATATACATAATGTAATTATTAAAACTTTTATCCATGGTTCTTTTAAGAGAATCGTCCAGATCCAAGAAAACAGTACCATAAACACTATAAAACAGACGTCACGATATCACCGTTTTACAAAAGCTCATAACAAAGGGAGAATAGAAGAAGACAGAATCACCATTTTCTAGAGAAAATATCAGCTTGTGAAACAGTATGACATATGAGGGTGAAATATAGTAAAACATAGGACATTAATACATCGTTTTATAATCATTTAAGATACTGTTCCGGTGGTTGACATGATCGTCCTGGACTAATGTCAAAAACTAGAGGAATCATAAAAGTATTCTAGCAAAGGATTCATTGCTGATAAGAAAAACATGAGATGGCAAAACTATAATAATTTACCAACATATCATGAAGAAAATAACTTAATTTGGGTATCTACAAAAGCTATGGACAGTCATTCTGGGCTGTGCTTTTTATTTTCAACTGGAATATATCATTCTTCTTGGACACGAACAGTCATTGTTGCTTTAATTTTTAGTTATACCAGATGTTTTACAATTAAACACTAAACTAATAAGGAAACCTTTCTATGTGTCAGACCGCTTCTAAGTCGAGACTATGTGTATCATACAAGTTCTAACAAGCTACGAGTACTCTGAAAAGAGTTTGGAATGATAGGTTATTGCTGTCGAGATACTGTATTATTAACTGTATTATTAGCAGAATGCCATGGTCCCCTCAGTAACACCGACAAAACTGAGTTTTGAATTTCGATTTGAAACTTTGCATCGAGATAGACTTTAACGAGAATAGGTTATTGTGAAGGTTTCAGATTTTTCGATTGTGCCTATTCTGACATAAGAATATCGAAATTTGGTATTGTAGATGAACGGTATGAAAAACCTGCTTTTACCATAGCCGTGTCTGAGAGTAAAAGCAATCTGAAACTTTTACAATAAATTATTCTCATTAATGTTTGTCTCTGTGGAAGATTTCAAGTCGTAATTCAAAACTTAGTTTTCCTAGTGTTCCTGAGGAGAATCACGGCATTCTGCTAAAAAATATGATAAAGACACAGTATCTCTGATTCTGCAGGTTTCGCATGATCCGTAGGTGATAGGCATACAGCAAACTCGAACGGTTCGGATTCGGAAACTGCCTAACGAACTCAGGCCGCATCTAGTATTTCGGTAGTTGTTCAAGCGATTTTTGAATCATATCGGCGATTATGGAGGCAGCCTTAGGTTCGATCAAGTTTAGATTTGGATATTTCTGAACATCGTTAACTTTCTTTTTTTCGAATGTCTGCTGTATTTTCGATTTTGGGTCATTTACTTCATTGTCTGTCAACCTATTATAGGCAATCGTGAAAGCCTTTCTTATGGTTTACTTCTACTCTCTAGTTAAATTAATTAATTGAAAATGACAGAATTCAAGACCAAATCCGAATGTTCAGGTTACGTGCATGGCTAGTAAATGTCTGCAGATTTTACAGACATCCTTTTAGCCTTGAGCAGCTTTCATTCTAGATCCTTGGAAGATGCTCTTTGGCGGAAAATATTAAGGAAAAAATATTTTCTAAAATTCATTTTTTGAAAATCTAATTATAATTTCTATGATTGAAGTGAATAATTTCGAATAATAAACAAGTAATATTTATAATTAGTTATTTTCATTATTTTCTCAAGCCTAAAGTATGACATAAAAATATTCAAAACATTGAGCAGAACATACAATGAAAAACATATGTTATTAGGCCACGAAATAATGCAACAATAATTTTGATATATAAAACAAAATAAGAAAAAACATGTAAAGTTTTAATTGAATAAACAAATGAAATAAAAAAATAAGAATTATTATTATTAATCACTAGAAAGAACATCACAAGCATCATAAAATACGTCATCATTATTTTGTGTACATGAAATTTCAAGAAATGGAATTGTAAATGGCATTTTTATCCATTTCTTTTTTAATATAATTATTTCTTTTCCACTTTCTTTTTCAATTTGTTTTATTTTAATAGATTCACATTTTAATGGATATATTGGACTCATTTTTGGAAGATCTTTTAAAACTTGAATACGACCAAGTTTAGCACGACAATTTTTATTTAGACATAATACTTTACCTTTGAAAATAAATCAAAGAATTTCAATTAATATTCTGACAAACAAAATCAATTACCAATTACTGAAATTTTCGAATGTTCTTGTGGTTCAGATGATAGTTTTTCTTCAATACGATTGTAAAAATCATGATCATTAACAAAATATGATTGTTTATATTGACGAACTCGTGAAAGTTTACCAAGTAGATATCCACAAGCTCTACATAAAACATCTCCAATTAATTCAGTATTTTTCGTAATAGTTGTTTCTATTGTTAATGCTTTAATTAAACTTTCATTCCATTCTGTAATAAGACATGCCTTTAATAAATAAAATTTCAAATAGAAAGTAACAAAGAAAAAACAATAGCAATACTCTTTTACTTGTTTAGCTATTACTTGTTCTTTAAATTGATCAGAAGGAATTCGTTTCCACGTTTCAAGAACTTGTTTCAAATCTTGTTCACATTGTCGATTATCTAATTCTTTACTATAATTTTGAGAATCTGAAAATTAGTAATGTTTTTATTAGACTTTAATTTACAAGTATGGATTAACAGCTATTTCGAATATCGATGGTATATCTTCATATCGATTTTTCAACAAATCATATTTTGTGGAACTCACATTACTGTTTTCTTCGAAAAATGTAGTGAGTGTAAGTTCAAGTGTTGCGGCTTCCCTCTCATAGCAACGGAAATCAAAGATCAAAGGTCAACGAATATGTTTTTCCTAGCAATAGGAGAGAGAGAGAGAGAGAGAGAGAGAGAAAGGTCAACAGTCATTGATCAGGTCTTCATAACAACCGATGACAAAATGTGTTAGACTCCTTTTTCAGAGTCCCTTAACAACGGAAAGAAAGAATATCCTCTCTTCCACCTTTCAGCTACCTTGTGACAGACTTAATAGCCTGACATCTTTCCTACAACTAATACTAGCTGTAGCTCTACGCAGAAAGTCGATCTGAAGCAGAGTTTTTGTGCTTTATTGCTTGACCTCTCCATATGTGCTAAATAATTGCGTATTAGTCAGAAAAGCATGCGTATGTGTCACAACATAGTCAGCATGCTATCGGATGGATGATAGGAAACAAACGCCCATTAGTGATTTATCCAGAGTCATGCCACGGTAGATGGTACCGATGTTTGAGCACATTTCCTTGTGGATATATATCGAAGAACGTAGCCACTGAGTCACGGTAGCTACTCTAGCAACGGAAAAAGATGCTGAACGGTATTAACAACAAGATCTTGACTATTCTAGAAAATTTTTAGAACATTCTAAAGTCTTTCTCGAAATTTGAATGGGTAAAATATGTTCGTAAATTTTCTAAATAGTACAGTTAAATATTTATATTCAAGATGTGAAGGATGATGGATATCATGCATTGATTTGCCACAATTGTCATATGATCAACATAAAAAGTGTGAACTGATCAAATTATAACTTTAGGAACTAATCAAGAGCAATGTTTGTAAGCTTATCAAGATATATAATAGTGCATTGAGACATGCTGTAGCTATAGTATAATGGACATGTAAAACAGGCTTATTTATCAGTTAAATCAATAGTTAGAATAATAATAGTGTTAAATTAAGAAAGAACGGAATACAAAAATGAAAAGCAACAAGGCAAACACAAAATAGAACGTCAATAACAAAGAAGACAAACTTTCTGTTCGAAAATTTAACATATTTTGTATTAGTATACTAACACTAAGGAGCACAAGTAAATTCCACATTTTAGCTTTAAAGAAACTATGCTGACAAGCTTTTTTCTACATAAGCTTACACTGTTGAAAGTACTTACAATATTTCATTTTGATTCCAAGATTATTTCTTACATTCAATAAGAACATTCTCCTTAATACACAATTATTCCATATAACAACAATGCTGATCACCTATGAACAGTATTTCACCTGTTACACTCAATCTCAGTGTTTTTCAATTTAATGCTTAGGCAACAACATCAGCAGGACAAAATGTTTTACCTTACTCAATACTATAGGAGAATCCTGTATTATAGAACTCACTAGCTCTGTTCTAAATTGAAACATTAGAAAATGAAAATTCCGAAAAATCACATCGCAATAATTAGAGCTATGAGATATTTACCAAAAATTAATTCGATTTCATTTTTCAGAAATTTATTTTTCTAATATTTAACTCAAAATAAGATTCAATTAATCTACAATTTTAATCTCTATCAATTTTTAGAGAGATGGATCAGAAAAAACTATCGAAATAATATTAGATCAAATGTAAAATTATATTCATGATATGTGTACTAATTTATACGATAAACATTTTACCTTTTGTTGTAATAAGATAATATGTACAACTAATTGTTCGTGCACGGACACGTGCTTGAACAGTTCCAATACTATCAGGAACAAACTAAAGATAAACTTTCATAATGAATTCATATACTGAACTGTTGACTTACATCATATCGAAGTACCAATGAACATTCAGGCATATCCAAACCTACTTGTACAACATCAGTAGAAATCATTACATTATAAACACCTAATAAAACAATAATAGATCAATATGAAATAATATTTGATAAGACAAACCAGTTCGAAAACCATTTAATTTTGGATCTTCTTTTTTATTGAATTTTCTAGAGTCAATACCACTTTGACCAACAAGCCAACATGGCTTAATAATGTTCTGTTGATTATTAAAAATGAACAGATAGAAATTAAAGGATCGATCAAAAGTTTTAAGACAAAATGTTTGTTTATTTTTGGCTCCCTTGAAAGTTTTTCCGAGCAGTCAAAAGCTATCGATTATGATCAAAATGTTGTGTTCTTTCCGAATGTGGGCTTCGGAATTTTCTTGAGATCAATGAGATGATCTTTTGA